TAATGAATATTTATGGGTATTTATCTACTAATGTAGCTATATTGTGTTTCCACATCATATCCTTTACAATAGCAATTGGTATTTGGTACAGCCTAATTTTCTGAACCAGGAACATGGCAACCAGAAAAAAACCRAATAGGCTGAAATAGTTTTATAATTTGGTTTCATACTTTTATCAACAATAAGATGTTTTCATAYACATCTTCCCCATGTCTGGCTATAAACATATTTTGTGTACTTTTTGCTTTTGCCATCTTTTAGATTCAGAAATAGTAAGCCTGTGATCTTTTCCATCTCATTCTTAATTTATTATAATGTGTTGAAGTATTTACTTATTAGGGATATCATGTCTTCCTTGGATCATCTACACCTATACATAAAAATRGATTTCTGTCTATCTGTTCATCTTTTATGTATTCTTAAACGGCTGGACTGATTGCGACAAAATTTGGTACAGAGATATATTATRTCTTTGAGCAGAAGATAGGCTAGATTAAAAAGTGATAGACCCAACCTCGAGAGGTGCTCAGATATTTTGAGATTTACGATGGAAATGTTTGTTCATTTATAAATGGTTGCAATTATTGATGGTTGCTTATTATTATTATATAACCCTGAATTATTKTTAACTTTGCATTTTGTAGTCCGTAAAACATTCTAMCTCTTATATATGTGTTTTTGTATTTTTGTTATGATAAAGTCATTTCTAAGCAGTTATKCTCCCCAAAAAAATATCGATTGGTACTTGTWCGTCTCAACGTCTCAAACACGAAAGAAGATGGCAATASAAGCTTCAGAAATATACATAAAAATGGATTTCTGTCTGTGTGAACTTTATGCATTCCTAAACGACCGAACCGATGATAGGYTAAATTAAAAGTGATAGGCCTAAATATCATTGGTTAGAGGCCCCACGTATGTATAGCTGTTATGTTTTATGTATGTTGTTATTTGTTACGGTGAATAAACGATACAGGTTTGGGTGGCAGTATTGTGCTAAACAGTTTCCACCCGTTCCCGGTATATAAAAGGAAAAAAAAAGGCCTAAATATCATTCAATCGAATATTTGAATTGTCARACTTTTCTCAATAAAACGAATAAAATTACATAATAATAAACTAAATTGAATATTGTTGTAAGTTTATTACTTAGTATATTTTAACTGTTATCTATCTATATGTATAAAAGTATACTGCTAGCAAAATCACAGGAAACAAATTTAACACACAGTTTAAGACATATATAAGAGGTAGGATTTTAAATGGGCTATGAAGTGCACAGATTCAGCTRGTTTTGGATAATTGTTAATATACTAATAGCTTTTAAACATTTTTTAAAGTAAATGATATATGTATATTCACTAATTAATTTCAAAAAATAAAATATTATTATTCTTTAGTAAAATAAAAAGAAGATTCTATCTACATTGATAAAATAATCAACTAAAGATTGCAATATGTATAGACACTAATATTAAATCATACWTAACATTCTTAAATGCACTTGCATTTGGGCATTTCAATAACAAGTAGTTGTTTGTACAAAACTGTATTAATACACGTTTAATGGATTTTTAAATATTAGTTGACATAACATTAKAATATAAAATATATATTCATTTATGGCATGTAAAATATTGTTTGAAGTAAATAAACAGTGATAATAGCTGCATAGTTTAGTTTTATTATTATTATAGTATTTATTTACTTTATTACTGATTCAATTAACATATTAATATGGCTGATAATTTGGACACAAAGTCCAGTTAATGTTAACTGGATTAATTTCAGATAATTAGATGTGTTAATCAACAGTTTGTAAAAACCTGAAAACCATAAATATATTTAACATCAGTACTTAATTAAAAATAACATATACAATATAAATCATTCAAACATTCAACGACCAGATAGAGAAATGAGATAAGCAGTACCTCTAGCTGGGTGCCGAACGAGTCACTCTCATCAGGTCATAATGAAACATGGCCGGTTTGGCGAACACTAAACAGACTCAGGACAGGAATCGGACGAACGAAAGACAATCTAATAAAATGGGGACTGCTAGATAGCACAGACACCTTGTGCATATGTGGAGAAGTACAGACAATGCAACACATTATCACATGCACAGCTTACTTCCAAACCTGCACCCCAGAAGACATTCATAAAGGCACAAGTGGCAAGGAATTAACGTAGCTTGCATCTGGGCAGAAATAATATAAGCCCACCAATAACGTACTGAACCACTCAACAATATTACAATATTATATTAAACATTCATAGTCTATTCCATTTTTTTTTTATCTATTTTACTTATTGTCATATTATTAATAGTGTTATTTAAAGCTAATTTTATTTGTTTATTTTATACTATAAAACTTACATAATTATTATTATTTCTGTTATACTATGCGCCTGACAAGGATAAAAAAAAAAAAATTCAAGCATTAAAATTATTAAAATTGCATTATAAAAGTTGATTATCTATTAAACTTCTCAGACGTGCTATTTCAATAGCATCAGTTTTACAACAGCCTCCAAATATTTTTAATCCTCTTTTATTCCATATGTTAAGATCATCAATAGAAACTTTATATATTTGAGTATCATCATAACTGAAAACGTTAATACAATTAGAAATAACTTATATAGGTACTATAAAAATCTTAGATAAATAATAAATTACCAATTTTGAGCGTTATCCCATATACCACCTCCATTTGGATARACAATAAAATTAACATTTTTAGTCTTTACAGACATCAAAAGTGGTGTAATAAATTTTGGGTGTAARCAATTCATACCAATGGCAATTAACTGTTTACGGTAATCGTTTGTCCAGAATAATTCAACAGCACTTGCAAATGTTTCACCGTGACTCAAATGATTGCCGTCCTAAGAAAGGTATTTAAAATWTGAATCTAAACYAATGTTTTCAATATATTCAGAATAACTAAACATTAATATATTATTATTTACTTTTGTTGTAATTTTTTAAAATKTAAACTAATTTATTTTTATTAAATTAATTGTTTAGGCTGACCCAGACACAACATTTTTTTGTGGTGTACAAGTTCTCATTTTCTAAACATACTAGTAGGAGCTATCCTCTTCCCCCAAAAATGGCTCATGTTGATTCTTGATAATAATTACCTATCAATTCATTTTTTTTTTTTATAAAATTCATATTTTAACTTTACTTCTACATTGTTGTTAATAACAATGTTTTCTGTTAAGACAAAATCAATTAAATATTTTTATTTCTAGACATAAGTATCTACTATCTAATATTGTAAACAAATTAACTTACATTGTCTAAATCTATAATCTGAATTCTATACATTTAAATTACATCAGTTATCAGTTGTATATAAGTACATAACATAAAATACTTATCAAAGAATCTGACAAAGATTATACCAAGCGGCAAGCATAATAATTCTTATTGCCTACTTTTGTCTTAAAGTAGTTAAAGTCATCTATTTTTACAGGCAAGTAAAATTACTCATAGTAATTAGTTCTTTTTGATTTATTTTAGATTTCTATTCTATAATTTTAAGAACAACTTCTSACAATTACAACATGTAGGTAGTTATAAGAATAATATATTGTGCATTTATGTGTATATATATATCTATATATTTAATGGATCTAGGAAATGCAGTGTGTACTCTGCAAGCTCCCAGGTTGATGTCCATCATCTATGAACTTAATAAATTACAATTAATTATTATGGTTGTAAAATAAATTTACCCTGCAAGAGAATGATAAACATGCTTTTTGATTTGGAAATTCAGTCAGTATGTTTAGTAAAATAGTAGCCTCGACAACAGAAGGTATGGTTTCAAAAAGCAATGCATTGACTCCAGCCTCCACCAATGCTTGAATTCGAGGTTTATGCCAGTCATATAATTCTTTTAAATTTATGGTGTCTATGTAATTACCATTATATTCTGAACAATCGCGTAATGATGCGCCATATGGACCAATAGATCCCATTATTTGTATATTGCGTTCTGTAAATTAGCTTATCTTAAAAGACATGAGGCATTTTTGTGATTTATCTCACAGTTTTCTACAAAGATACTATACATAGTTATGTATCTGGTATATGAAACATCACTTCTATATACAGATAATAATCAAATATAGATAGGTACATATTATATTTGATTTACAACAGATAATTTAAATGGTAATATAATTACCTGCATTTTCTTCTATTATTGCCCGGCGACAAATCATTACAGATTTCTTAATCAATTCAAAACTCTGATCATAATCTAGATCTAAATATTTTTGAAAGCCTGCAATGCTAGCCTGGTATGTTATGGTGGTCAAAAAATCGGCTCCAGCTGTAGGTAATGAAGGTAATAAATAAATAATTATGAAAATGATTGAAGTAAATCAAAAATATTTTCTTCTGATACGTAGGTATATTTATAACAATAACCTCTAATGTAATCTTTATGGCCGCAAATAACAGCATCTTCGTTGTTTAAAAGCAAATGTGATCCCCAAAGTGGATGTTTTATAACACTGTCAATATCTACATAAGGTGTTACACCACTGATAAAGCTGCCATCCAGGAGATACATTTTATTATTTAGCATCATCGAATCCATATTCTAGAAAAAAAATTTATTTTTGCACCTTTGTGGCTTTGTGGTTTGACAAAAACAAAATACACTTAAAAGGTCGTTATAAACTATAAACACTTTAAATATTCAACAGCTGATAAGCGATAAGGTAAAATATACAAATGCACAATAATAAAAATGAATTCACATACCTATTTCATTCGACTCTGACACAGTGGCACAGTGATTGTGAATATATTTTGTGTATACCGTATTGTAGTTTCAAGCTTGCAACAAATCAGTTAGGTACCTAATTAACGTAATACCTGTCCGAGTCCGACCGATGGACTTCACTTAGTATGTATGTAGGACAGTAGTCGGTAGTAAGGTACCTAACAGTAGGTAACTATATTATAATCAATAATCATTTATCAATTTCAAATTTCAATTATCAATCATCAAGTAAACTACCTACCTCGGTGTCGATGACTCAATACAGTCAAACGGCAATCGAGCAAAGATCCAAAAACGTATATCGCAATACCAAATTTTAGATTCTGAGCGGAACGATGAATGTGTTGATTTTACAATGAAGTGTGTTTTTTTGTCGAGATAATGCTTCGATTATCAACTCAGTACCTCTTCCGGTTGGAAAGTGAATCTAGCTTGTGCTGAGTTGTGCGTAGGGGAGGTCAAAATTTGATACTGCCACTTGCCAGTAGTTTTTAAAAGCACCGGGAAAAACAAAAAATAAAATTTTACCGAAAATTAGTTTTTGAAAAAATTGAATTTAGACATTGGTACAACTCTGAACCAAAACACCGTAGATACATGAAATTTTCACTGAATGTATATGCCGGTATTTTCTGCGCTTGATAAAATTTTCAAAATATTTCAAATATCTAAATATTCTAAATTAGATAATGTTCTTACCATCATGTTTCATGATAAGTCAATTCGTTAAAATTTTCAAACTAACGGAATTATACAATCGTTATATCTGCTTAGCGTACCATTTGCGAAGTTACGCACTTGTAAGACGGAGACAACAAATATAATATGTGTAGCGTCTTCTTTAGAAAATGAAATATTATAAAATTAACAATATTGTATATTGTATACGATAGCGCTGTCTAGCAGCAAAATTAAAGTCGATCGCATGATATTCTGCTTGCACGTGTCGAAAAATTCGAAACGGTGCGACGGCGGACGTATTAATGACGCGATACCTACGCGAGATCTAAAGACTATTCGCTCTGAATCTATAAAATAATAATTTTCTTCCTTAATGTTTTAATGGAGATAAACTAAAAGTTCAGAAATGTTACATGTAACAACCGACAAACATACTTTCAATAAACATCGCACATAAAGGTAAATTGAGTGTGAGTCGAACTTTGCTGTGTACGTAACRTGATTGCCTATCTTGAACGCCGCGTGATTGTGGATTTTTGTATAAACATTTTTATTTATAATAATAAAAAATACAATAATTTTTACGAAGCACCATTTGAATGGAACGAAGTTAATTATATAATCATTGTAAATTATTAACAAAACCATCTGGTTGAGATTGCTAAAAACAATCTTTTATGCTTTAAAAGCTATACAGTATTTGGAGGATATAAAACTGGTAACAAGTGTTACAAAAACCTACAGACTGGCTACAGTTCCAAAACCCAACAGTACCAACCAACCTACAGGCTACAGCTAATGGCCTCAGTTGCCGAAGCTTAAAATAAAAAATTAAAATTGGAATTTGTTGTCTTGGTCTCGCGAGTACATAATACATACGAAATTTACGCTCAGCAGATCATTTGTAGTCACAAAATTAGCGTGAATCTATGTGKTTTGTTGATTTGTCGCTTCTATCTCGTAGAGAAACTTCGATAGTGTTAAAAATGGTTTACCAGCAAAAGCATTGAAAACAATTTCCAACAATTTAATTAGATTCAAAAAATGTGAAAATGTTGATGAATTTCATAAAAAATTATACGAGATTTTGCTAATAATTGGGATAACTTAAAAAAGTCGATCGATGATGTGTATACAACATTGACAATTTTTATGGCGCCGAAGATGATCAAGAAGATTATGAAAGCACTGGTGTTTCAAATTGTATGTCGTACAAGAACTATGTTTGTTACTGTTTGAAATTATTGATTTAGTATTACGTATGAACATTTTTGTTTGGCATATAAGTATCTATTAACTTTACCAGTTACGCAAGTGGCATGTGAGAGGTCATTCTCCACACTAATATACATCAAAAATCGGCTAAAAAATACAATAAGTAACGACAATTTGGAAGCGTTTATGTAAATGGCCGTTGAAAAACGGACATTGGCTTCTTTAGACGATGACATGTTAATTGACAAAATTGGGGAGACCAGTGAAGTTATGAAAAAACAATTAATTGGATAAAAAATGTAAAATTATAAATCATACTATATTTTCAATATTTTGTAAATGTATTTATTATTTAAATTACATTGGTTAATATTTTAATTAATATAATATAACAGTCTACATTTATCTTGTATTACATATTATAATCTTCAAAGTATAATATATTATATATATAATGCTCCAAACTGTTTTATAATTAGGTACAATTATTTTCATTGTCTGTGTTATAAAAAGTTAAAAGGTTAAAATTAATAAGTTTGTTTCACTATTTTATGAAATTGAATATTAATTTACAGCAACAAAAGTTAAGGGAGTATAATAAAACTTGTGTTCTTTTTGAAGGTTTAGGTTTAGGTAAGTTTATTGTATAAATATAGTGCATAATTGTTAAACAAAAATTACCACATTTTTTAGGCAAAATCTAACTGGCCTGCCTAAAACATTTTCCCGGCCTGAAATATTATCCCGTTAAACTGTTGTTTCAGTCCGTCCCTGTATGGACTACGCAGATCATGAAACATAATGATGATTGATGACTTGCGCAAGCTTATTGGTATCGCGTACATGTGCCGCGGCTTGCGGAGGTTGGAACCGGTGATGCTCATCAAATCTTGGTACATCACTACGATGTGCACATGATGGCTCATCTGTACGGGGTCGCCACTCACCGAGCATGGCCTTGCACGTTCGCGAGCATGCTTATAATGTCTATATACGTTACATTCATTTGATTTGTAAGGAACATGTATTAGGGTTTTAGGCTACAGCTGTTTCTGGTTAAAATATTTGGTGCTCAGTGCTCAGCTACCAATTGTATGTATTTTTTTATTGTCTATATGACTATATATATATATATGTTATAATTATTATTGCGTACCAGTATTGTATCGGTGGTCCAGAATAATGGCCATATTATTGTTATTGTTATAATCTGTCTAATATGTTTACTGTATATTTATTGGTTATAAATTTATAATAATTAATAGGCAATAATATTTTATGACAAAAGCAAACAATATACCTAATATTGTTGTACAATAGCACATACCCAAAATTGACAATACCATTGTTACCGTATTTAACAGTTATAAACAATAACAATTAAAAATGCATAACATGATATACAATGTACTAATGTTACATTTATAACGAAATTTCCATTTTACAAATGCAAGCTTTAAATTGTGTAAGTTTTTTTCAATTATCTGTTTTTTATCTAGATAAATGTAGTTATAATTTATCTATTATTTAGATAAATATTTTAGGTATTATCTATTATCTTATCTAGATAAATATTCAATGGATTATCTGTTATCTTATATAAGATATCTAGATATCTTATAGATATCTAGATAAATTTTTGGTTATCTTTGCACAACACTGCTAATGTACATACCTGCTAATTCCGGGTTGTATGAAAAATCAAAAATGTATTAATTTCAATTAATACAATTTAATGGATCAATCATTGAATCAGGTTCATTAAATCATGTTTAAGGGACCATTAGCTCATTATTTATAAACCATTTAAACGTGGCGGAATATACAATAGATATCGAAAATATCTTCTCTTCATGAATATACATTGTGAGTGTGATTACTATTAAATAAATGTATATAGGTAATCTGCGCTTCTAGGATTTATAAATTATATATAAATGTGATTATCTCTTATATTATAAATTCGTCGATTAGTTAAGACCGTTCATGTTCATGTTTTGTTAATCCTATTAATATAACATCTATATAAGAAATAGAAATAATTCTTTGGTCATCACTCATCACCAATGGCAATTTTGGAGATCGCCAACGTGCGTACTGTACTACTGACAGTAGTCTACTGTGTACATAATATAGGTAGGTCGTAGGTACACAGTAAATACGAATAACGATACTATTATAGAATACCTATTACTCAAAGGTGCCTCCAAAAATATAAACCTGGAGCATCTGCAGGGAGGGTTGACGAAGTCAAAAATCTGTCTGATTACACAGCACATACATTTTTTGTTTGTTTTTTAAATGATAAAACGATTAATAATAATTAAAATATCGGGGGGGATATCGCATATCCCCGTGTGGGTGCCTGCTGTGATACCATGTATACCACTATACTCACTATAGGTAGGTACCTATACCATATATCTTCACTGTGCTATATAATATAATGTCGTATATAGTCATAACCAGCACGACAACACGAGTAAACTGTAGTAAATAATGCGGTGTAATATGACCTGCACATAAGCCATAAAGATATTATAATTTATAATATAGGTAAACAATAATCATATAATATTATACTATAATACATTAAAGTAATATAGTCATTGTTTATATCTTAGACAAATCTGGCAGATATAGGTTTTTGTCCTGGTTATGTGGAATTAAACAAATAAATTTAAATCCAGATTACTATAGATTAGGTACGATTAGCTAACCTTACCGCAATTCTTTACCTGTAATAGGTCTTATAACAGAGAAACAATACCGAACACGTCGAATAGTAAGACTGTAACAATACTATAAGTCATCGACAAGATAATTATTAGCGACATCGAGTATATGAATCAATGGAAACCAAACTACGCATATCAGATAGCTCTGAAGCGGAACAAAAAATATTGGAGACTTGGTGGGTCTACTCATCTATTRTGCAACGCAGTTCGCAGGCGGTGACGCGTCAACGATCATTCAACCTGGCGAAGATTCCAGTACTAGGCCAATTGAGATGATTCCTGGCGACGTGATGGTTGCAGCTCCGGCGGAGCAGGCCGCGTAGTAAAGGAACAGCGAAGTGACGAGACGTTAGACATCACGCCGGCCAGGGAAACGGAGGCCAGGAACAGTTTTGRGAATTTTGTCGACTGACTGGACCCGGTGGTCACTCCTGCAGCAATACGCGCACCTCCGCTCGCGCGGACAACAAAAATCACCACCGCTGCATATATGGAGTGGCATGACAAAAACCGTACGCGTTATTTCACACGAAAAAATTATATAGGTTTCCCCAAATATTATTTTTCATACATAATTATATGTATATATTTTTTGTTTATAGTTAAGTAAATTAGTCGTTAAAGTATTATGATGCAATACACGCAAATCTAATATAATAACGGCGACAATTTCCACGAAGAGACATCAACTTAAACAAGCAAATATTTGTATATAATAACAAAATTCGATAGAGATCATAGTGCGGTAGTTTTAATTTATCATCTATTTAATAATTAAACCAACTTRTTTTATTATTATGTTGGCTGGAATTAAATAAAYRGATTAAAAATTGTGCTGGCTATTACACATATTTTTATTACCTATTATAACGAAAGTATATTTATTATATAGTATGTTTATTCCATAAAATGTTTGGTGACTCAGTATTTGTAATTTTGTACATAGTCATTAATATAATTGAATATAATTATTATGACGTTATATTATATTATTCTATATATTTCATATTCAAACTTTCATACATGAATCTAATATTTGTATTTAATGCTTTCAGTCATTTTTTTGTTTAAATAGTTTTCTTAAAAAAAATTATTTTAATGTTTTGCTATTCAGTTATTGTAGGGAATTATTTTTCAGATACAAGAATATATCATAATATAAGACACGATTATAATTTAGATGTATTGCTTTTTCTAAATATACAAACCAAGCTATAGTTATACTCAAAAAATATAGACTGGATTAAAAATGGTACGTGAATAAAATTTAAATTATACGACGTTGTTAAGCTTTTCAGGATAAAAGAAAAGCAATCTACAGTGATATTGGTGATAGTAAAAGCAGGTAAGCTAAGTATAGGTTTAGTTTTATTTATTTATTTTTAAAAATAATATTTGTATAATATTATTATTTTTTACTATTAAGGTTTCAAATGCATAGTTTATTAGACTACAATATTGTTTCATACATGTTGTTACATTTAACTATTTAATAATAATTTATAACAATAATCTAACCTAATCTAACTTTTGAACATTTTTTATTTTTACATTTTAACTACTTGCGGGAAGTTATCGTTGATCCGTGGTCTTATAGRTATATATTCGATCTGAGCTCAGCAATCTTTATGAATTCGATTATTCTCTTTTCTTGTCCGGGACTGAAATAAGTCTACTGTGCCAGTGCGTACTCTAGCTGGTAACCATAATTTCCTCGTGTCGTGAGAGCTTGATTGGGCGTGAGATTTGGCCATTTTTAAGTAGATAGGTAGGTAGTTACTAGTTTTAATTGATTGAGTTTATTGTTATTGCTGGTTTATTTTTCCAAGAAATTATATTATTTATTGTAATTTACAACAATTAGCTAGAAGTAAGAAGTAGTATAGTATTACTATAGATATAGATATAGTATATAATAGTATAGTATAGCTACTATTATATTACATTTGTTATTTAATGTATAATCTAAATTATGTATATAAGTAGAAATATAATAATGCCGTATTAAATTCATAAGACGACTAATATTATAAAAATTATATTTGTTGTATGTATAGAATACATTTATTTTGAAATTATTTTTTTCTGGTCTGGCGTTAGTCTCTTTTTAAGGACTACCGATGACGATATCCAACTTACTTATCCAAGTTTTGAAATTAATACGGTACAGGGGACATTGGAAGAATTGCGGTCAGCGAAAAGATACATTATTAACACAATAACACAAGTCTTTATATTTGTATAAACCGGCATTATTATATTGGCTAAAATAATATGTAACATAATAAATCTCTTACGGTTTCTCTGCAGTTTCTCTCATTATCATTGGCCGGCAGTTCACTCCCATTCTCCTCTTTGTGGAATAGGCCTACAAGGGGACACCACAGTAAAAAAAACGCGCCTCTTGCAATACCTCATGTAATATTAAAAACGAMATATAATTGTCATTTAATAAGCTAAGGTGGTGAGGAAACTTGCAATGTATTACTGCAATTTACAGTGAATATTCCAAAATTACCTAACTAAATATCTATGGATTTAACTAAAGGATACTATAAGTCTATAATCCTATAATGTATTGTATTTTGTATTGTAGGTACAGTTGTTGAAGTAATATTACATATTAACACTATTAACTAAAATGTTTTCTTTAATATAATAAATTAATAAACATATTACATATTATAATATAATAATGTAATATTATGTATAAAAGTATACACGATATTACGTTTACAGAATTGAGAACCTATGCGTTAAATTATTCATTAATATAATAATTATGTATTCAAATATTATGTAGACCTATAGGTTAGGCTATATATATAGGCTATAGCAGCTACAATAAATGATATATATTAAAGGTACGATATATCTTATTTCAGATTCGATGTTTTAAAAAAAAATAATAATTTATCAGGATATGATATAAGTTAAACGTTTTGACAATCTACATTCTACATGTTTTTTTCTATAGTTACGTTTATTATTAATTAATATGATTATAAGGACTAAAAACAAAAAAAAAATGTTTACGTTAATCGATGCTTAGAAGGAAAATATAATATACTTAGAAAAACATTGTTAAAAATTGTTTAATATAATAATAGTACTTATATACYTCTGCGTAAGTATAATTGGTATATCAATAATAATAATAATATGGTATTTTGAAAAATAAACAGGTCCGAAATCAAGCTGATGATGATTGACAGATTAACAATTTAATGACATATAAACTCTGACTACTAATAAATGATGTTGTTTTAAACTATCGGGCGACGGCCTAGGATGAAACCTGGGATCGGCTAGTTTTTTTCCCACATATGATCCATGAGCACACAATTATATACACCCACCTGAAGGCTGAAATCGAAATGGCTGTGTCTTATAATAGCGAGACAACCGACCAAATCGAAGTAGGTGTAACTATTGAAGGAGTCACCATCGACAACGAAAAGATAATTATAACGGCATCCAGTATATGAAGCAAATCACGCATATTTGATAATTTCGAYAAGGAACTAACCATTTGGTTAGGTGGGTCTACTCCATTGTGCGACGCAGTTCGCAGGAAGCAATGCGTCGGCGATCGCTCAACCGGACGGAGATCCCGTACTGGAGCAGTTGAGATGATTCTTATTATTTCATGTCGGCGTGGTTGCAGCGGCGGTGGAGCAGGTCGCAGTGGAGAACAGCGAAGTTACAATGCGTTGGATGTCACGCCAGACATGAGAACGGAGGTCAGGAACTGATTTAGAGACTTGGTCGGCTGGCTGGAACAGGACAGGTGTCATCTGTCATTCCAATATAGGCAATGTGTGCACCACCGCGCGTGCGCGCGACAACGGACGAATGGAGAAGCATAACAAAAAGCGAACGCATATTTTGTTGTTGCTCCCTGAGGCCTGAAGTCAAACCATCCGAGATTCCACTCCCACCCGACTTAGGACAACGGACAAGATGAGGTGAAGCGGGATCGAGTAGGTATACTTGATAKAACAAAAAATTTAATAAAATTATGGTCGAACTTCTACTGTTGGACGGTATGCACTTACCTATACTACTTTCAGAGACAAGTAGCAGGTATATAAACTTAGGGTATTTTAGACTTAAGAGTACGTAACAGTGGTATTTGTTGTCTCCGWCTTACCAGTGCGTAATATAACAAATTTACGTCCAGCAGAACTCTTGTAGCTCCTTTAGTTTAAAAATTACAGTGAATCGACCTATTATGAAACTTGATRGTATAAGAACATTAATCTGTGTTTGTATGTTGGTTTTTTACGATAATTCAATTTTTAAGTGAGTTATGAGCATTTTTAATGTACTGTATATTATATGCTCATAACTCATAAAGTCATAACTCCTTAAWGAAGTTTTACTTCCCCAGAGTGTAACTCACACACTCTCATTTTTTTTTTTTGTATTCAAATCTATACAAAAAAATCATTACCGTTCATTAAATAATATGTATTTACAAACATAAATATATACAACTCAAAATTACACTTTCTCTTGTTCAATATTCATATATTTTGACAGTACATCCAGGMATTTTAATTACAACACCTATCTTAATTTGTTGTAAATTAAATTATATGCACATATTTTTGTATCATTTATATAAATAAAATATAATACAAGTATATTGATAGAATGTTACATTTATTGTCTTTTTTACAAATGCATAACATACCAAATTTTACATTCAGCAGATCACGTTTATTTCTGTCCATTTAAAAATTAGAGTGACTTGACTTTGTATAAAATTTAATGGTAAAATGATTATCTAAAGCATCTCATAATCATAAATGGACTTTTTATTATTTATAATTTTAATGCGAGTGTTCGGGCCGTACAGCGATTTTATTTTAATTAAATGTATCAAACGCACGACAATTAGGACTTTATAATCAAAAAAATTGCACTAATAATGTTGTTTAACCAAAAAAAATAATTTGTGATCTAAAAAATTTTTTATTGATATAATTTAATACAGTAATCAAGTATGATTGGATGTACATATATTTTAACTTTGATATTATTTTGGTCTTATTTGACGCACTTGGTATTGGCCGTAGACAGTGCATCGGTCGCAGCTGTCATCAGACTAAAACTGGCCTTTTGACCGATCRAGCCGATAGCCCATTTTTATTGCTTATCTATACGCTGACAACCGTGATCGACCACCATCGATCGCCAAAACTGAACAGTGAGTCATGATTATTTTAAAATGTACAAAAAAAACATTTATACAATTTAAGAAAATTATAACTCACTTTAAAATTAAAATATAATTAAAAGCCAATTAAATGCCAAAAAAATTCCCTAAACAATACAATAAATGTATAACATAAAGTTTACGATTCGTAATAACGTTTTCAAAATATTTAGATTTATTTTAAGCTATTACCTATTTATAACATGAACACATTATACTACAATAAGATAGTATTGATTCAAAAGCTAATAACAATAATATAATTTGATATAAATGTAAACTATTATAATATAAATATTGATAATAAAACAAATGTGAATGTTTTTTTTGTTTACTTTACAATTCAACTGTTTTACTAAAAGAATCAGTTAAATTAGTTATTAATCGGGTAGTGGTTATCACGTTCTTGAAAAATATATATGAAGCTTTTGGTGTACGAGTTCTTTCAGGATCATTAAAATCTACCTTAACAAGTCCAAAATGAATTCTGAAAAATCCAATAAAAATTAATCTTAAACTGAATATCTAATATAAAACTAAAAAATAATGTTAGACTATATTATTACCATATAAGATACATAAATATGWATATTATTTTAAATATAAATAGTATGTATTCCATTTATCATATTTATTCATAAACAAATTAAGATATTTATTAATTAGATGACATAATATAACGTACGTATAACCATCCATCCACTCAAAATTATCCAAGAGTGACCATACAGTAAATCCTATAACATTGCAGTTATTTTCATGTATTGCTCGTAATGTTGCATTTAAATAGCCCTATAAAATAAAAATAAAACTGTGATTACTTGTTGACTGTTGTCATACTAAAATTCTACCTTCATATAGCTTATTCTATCAAAATCATCTAATTGACCGTTATCTCCAAATCCATTTTCTGTTATAAACATAGGTGGATTACCATATTCATCTTTTATCCATACCAAAAGTTTTTTTAATCCAATAGGTGCTGTCTGAAATTTAATAACTTTAGTAACATACATAACTCAACTTTGATTTAATTATTACTATTAGCCATGGAGCAGGGGATGACTTTGGCCATGATTCATCAACAGATGTATAATAATTTGCAATAGCATTATAAGAATTTGGATCACCACATTCCTGAGTTACCAATCGAGAAGAATARTGATTGAGAGCATAAAAATCAGCCGTACCTATAATAATATAAATATCATTTTGGTAACTATTACTGAAACATTATAAAATATAAATTATCTATTAATGTTTAGTACAATATCAATTAAATTTGAATCTACCTTTGATTAATTTAATTTCATCTTCTGTAAATGTTGGTAATATTGACCACGGTCTACCTTCTTCTTTACTTTTTTTATCCATCCATTCTCTCATTATTGGTGGATAGTCTCCTTTGTATACTGGATAACTGAACCATCCCCTCTATGAACATATAAAAAACTTTAATAAGCACATATTCTGTCTTAAAAATTAAATAATAATGTGAGCTGTGTTCAAAAAGTATCCAAAATTTATTAGTTACACAAAATAGAAAAATGTAATACAAATGTACACTTACAGAACTTAAGAATAATGTACCAAAACATCAAAAGATAACTATTTAAAGTATTATTGATGACTTTGTGATTCCATACATAATAAAAGATACAATTTGTGACCATTTGAAACTTGGTAGCTTTTTCATAATATACCATTCCATTCCTAATATTTTCTTCAGAAATATTTTAGCTAAGCATAGCATTACTACTTTCTACTGAGCCACTACATTCCTGACATGGCTTCTTGTAACTTTTTTATGTTCCCCAAACTTAAATTGTTATTGGAATTGGTTAGATTTGAGTCACCCAAAAATAATATGAAGAATGCCACAGAACTAAGTTCTATTTCCATAGATGTTTTCTAGAATAGATTTTCAACTAGTGAGTTTTTGCAATTTTCTGAATAAAAAATCGAATGCTAGTACGATATTACGTCATTTCGTCTCAGTAATTTTGTCGCATGTCAATTTGTCGCGGTCAATTGGTCGTAAGACAATTGGACGCATACGACATTTTGTTGCGTGAAATATAGACGCATGCTATATTTGGTCGCGCATCATTTTATCGCATATATTTATATAGGTAGGTATATATTCTAAATAATAATAATGATTTTAAATATCAGTCATTTTAGTTTATTTTTATATATAAAATGTAAAATTCAATTCAATAAAAATAATAATAATAATAATCTAAATAAAATATTTTAAAAAACACAAAATAAAAAAAATA